TTAACCAATGATGTTTTTGCAATATCACGGGATGATCTACAAAAATCAGCCAATTACAATGAAAGCCCGCTATGCTACTATATATATATTATGTTTGTTATTTCGGTAATCATGTGTGTGACTGCTTAAGAAATTAGGTTATATAAAAAGAAAAAATCTATTTAATTCGGCACATTACTGCATTAAAAATTTTATCACAAAAAAGGGAGTCGCGTAATCAAATCCTTATGACTTAGATTCTGAAACGCCAGGTCTTTTAAAAAATCGAGACATTTCAGGCCGAACAGTTAACCTTATAATAAACCTGAATCGCTTGCTTATGGTTTCTCAACTTTCTCGAGGAAAATTTACAACTCGAGATTTTGTAAAGAAATGTAAGCCTAACGGTATAAATAATATAAATCGTTTTCGTTGTAAAACCATATTTGATTTATCCGACTGTTTATAATTTTATAAGAACATTTGAAAGATTTATTGTTGAGCATCTCAAACTTAGAGAAACAGTAGCTGAACAAAGCAAGGACTTAGAAGCGATTGTCCGGTTGATAGAAGCAAGTCATATAAAAAAATTGCATGAACTTAAAACTACTTTTGAGGTAGAATATCGAATTCTTAGGTTTGTTGAAATTGAAATGCATATTTTTATTTACTGAAATTCAGTTCTTCCATTTTATAGGATTATACATTTCTTTGAAAATTCCGAAACAAATATTAATGAAATTAGTAATACTGTAATTAGAATAGGTAATGTTATCGATTTACTGCGCTTTTCAAATTACTGTGTCCGCTGATTCTCATACACCACACCGGAAATCAGAAATCTAGAATAAATGCCAATACGTGATTGGCTAGAAATTATTTTCAACCAATCACAGATTTGCATTTATTCTAGATTTCTGATTTTCGGTGTGGTGTATGAGAATCAGTGAACACAGTAATTTAAAAAGCGCAGTAAATTAAAAGCTGACTACATGAACTAGAATTTTTTCGCTAACGAGTTGGCTGTTATAAATAGGAGTTCAACTATAATCATTGGTAGACAGAGACCCAAACTTCAGAATCAAACGAATATTTTAATGGTAACATCAAGATCGGAGAACTTAAGAGCACAAGGAATTGAAGGTTAATTTAAAATCTTGATTATGGAATTATAGCGGTTTAATTTGCATATTCTTGGCCAAATTTTAACTTTAAATTTAACTTAAACAATGTTTATAAGAATAGGCTTCTATTATCGCTAGAAGATTCGAAAGTAGTAGATATTCCTGATTCCAAAGTTGTAAGTCACGTTATTTCACAATATTTTTGGAGTAAGTGTTGCTTGATCAATTTGATAGGGCGTACAGACAGAAGACTGTCAATAATTCAAATTAAAACTTTAAATTAATTGTGAAAATTTTAGAGTCGTGCAAAAATTCAAGAATTTAATAGTTATGATTCACAAAACCTTATTGATTTTTTCAGGACAGTTTGGGTCCTTCTACCGCAAAAGAATATTTTCTTGATGAAATTTATTATAAAAATTTTTTATTGATTTGTCTTCGGAATGTTCTTCGGAAACAACTGAATTCGTAATTGTATCAACTATATAGTTTTAGGTAGTTTTAAAAACTTGCATTTGCATTTCACAAAGAATGCGGCATAAACTTTTATTAATCAAAGCTATTTTTATTTATTGCTAGTAGAAAATGCTTCTATTTCTTCATCCATGCTCTTAGAAGATGTTACACTTTCCTTTAAGTATCAATTTTCAGCATAGTATGAAATTTGGCTCAATAATTTTAAACCATTTCTTTTGTTGTAAGAATATTGTAAACTTTAACAAGATCAAGCGCCTACACATAAATTTATAGATCTATCAGCTCACCAGTTTCAAATACAATTATATTTATTTCAAAGTTCATTATATATACAGTTGCGTTTAGTGTTCCGATCTGGTCGACCTAAATGACTCGATACTGGCATGCTATAATACAGTCAGGGAATATACCATATGGGGCGTTATCAATTAAAACAGCCCTTTTTTGCAATTTTTCAAAAAATGAGTTTTTATTGGATTCTTATAAATTTTGACATGATTGACATTTTTCAATTATAAATGAAAGTCGATTTGCATAATAAAAAACCAAGATAATGCAAAAGAAAAATTACACGAGGCTGCCCAAGGCCAACACATCACGAGATTACCCGATAGTCACCTGTTACCTTTAACCAATCAAAATCGTGAAATTTGATTAATCCCGGATCAGTCCGAAAATCAAACCAAGTGATTAAACTCAATTATCTCAAAATGAGATATATGTAAAAAAGGGCTGTTTTAATTGATAACGCTCCATATTTGGACAGTGCCGATCGCACCTAATATAGTAATAGAATGTCAATCAAATTAATTCTAGAAATTCTAATTACGTCGATCATTGCAGTATTGACCAATCAAATCAATTAACGATTATACTATGTACATACGACTAGTTTCGGGTAAGTGGAAAAAAATTTATTTATTTATTACTGTATGTGTTTATATTTTTTATTCATTTTTTTAAAATTAAAGATACACATATAAGATATTGGTTATATAATGATTAATATCATGAAATCCTGTTTTGTTGAAGCAAATGATTGGCTATGTGCTGCGCAGCAGCATGCTTCAGCCATTTATTTGCCTCAACAGAACAAATTTGTAATATTTATCATTGCATGATCTATATCGATGTTATCATAAAATTATGATCATGATTTACAAATCGTGGTTGGCTAACAAAGTTTTAATTCTAGGTTGTTGTGCTTACGTAATAACACAAAAAAATAATGAAAAAAATCTATAATCATAAGAGTTTGCATTACAATATGCCATAACGAATATCTATAAACCTTAAACAAATTAATTATTATTAATAAATGTTTTTTATTTAATAAAATTAATGCAAATGATGTGAAATTAAAGATATTCAAAACTTATTAATAAATAGATGATTTGATCTTTCTGATTACTAATAAAGGTTGCTTTTTAATAATATCTTTCAATACTATAGGTTTACCAAACAACTTGAGGAACATCATTAAATTAAGAAAACCTGGTGCTATAATTTCATAAAGGGGTTCCAATTAGTTAACATTTAAATCCACTTTTTGCACGACGAATTTGTAGCAAAATTGTAATATTATATTGTAATATGCTTGCTTGGCTTAACTAAATAATAAATATAATAATAATAAAATGTGTTGTCACCAGTTAAGTTAAACAAATATATTACTTGACTCAACGAATAAGAGTGGTTAAGGAATGTTTTAAACAAGAAAAACTAAAGAAAAGTCTAAAATAAAACAAAAATACTATAAAATA